TAGTTCCAACTCTAATCAAACAAACTTTAACCAGTCAGTCAAGGTCTTTGAGTTCACATGAAAATGACAGGTGTGTTAGAGCAGGGCTGGAACTACATTCTCTGGGAAGGTGGATTGAACATTTCTGATTTGGAAGAACAAGAGATAATATCATTTACTGTACCCCCCCCCCCAGTAGTTAGTGTATTGGCAGCAAATTCTGTTGTAGCACAAAACCATTTGTCTCCTTCCTACTGATGCATCTCTGATCAATCTGATGGACAGAGTCCTGCTCTGTGTTCACAGATTACATATCTCTGTCTCTGAAATGCACACACATACACAGATTGAACATAGTGGTCATCTAAAAAACAAGATTTTTTGACGATCTGTTGTGTAATTAGTAATTAGTACTTAGTACAAAGAGTTTTTTTTACTTGTTTGTGAAAAAAAATACCAAAGCAATTTCAAATACTAATAATAATGTAGCATCAGACATATTGTTGAGTGGAGTCAGCCTTGACAGCAGTGACAACCTGTTGGGATTTAACATTCGCTCACTGCCATGTTGACAAGTACACAATTATTCATAATCATCATTCATACGAATGGGAGATGTAATAACACTGATTATTCTGGGTGTAGTCCTACCTTAAATTTTAAATAGGTAATTGTCTTTTTGATAGAAGTTTTGCAACACTCGATATGTCAGCTTTAGTTACAGCAAGTTCTTAATAAGTCCTGTCTAACAGTTAAAACAGCCGGTTTGTTTACTTCAAAATGTGCATGTGGACAAGCTGGAAAGTCTAAAAAAATATTATTTATGTATTTCTTTCCTTCTTTTTTCCCCCGATTTTATTCCTTATAAAAATTGTTATTGAAACATAATTTTAACATTTTACCATACAGTTACCATAACATGAATCATTTTAAATATGCTGAATGGAGAGTAAGATTTTGCAGTTGCCAGCGAGGGGAAGATTTACCCTGAATAAAATCATGAAAATGAGCTGTGTGAAGATTCTTCAAACATTCTCTTCTTTATGTTCTATGGAAATAACGTGGTTTTGGAACTGAATGAGGTTTAGTAAATAATGAAATGGCAAGTTTCCTTTTTGGGTGATCTATTGCTTGAAGAAGTAAAAGGTTTGTCCAGAGATAAAACTTCAATGTAAGATTTATTGCTAGTCTCTGTTGACATACTGTAGACACTGTGAGTGGTCTGTCAAATCTATACAGTTTTGGAAAAGGAACACACATAAAAGCTCACACATAGCTGAGGTGACTTCATCTTTCAAAAGCCTGAATACTTGACTGCTCTCCATTCTCACACATCCAGGCTTGCCCTCCAGCACTCTGGGTAAAAGGCTAAAAATACTGGGCTGTAAGCCATCGCCAGTAGCCCAGGGATTAGTGGAGCTCAGTGTCTCTGGCAGCTCTCCAGTTCCATAGTAGCTTTTGTGTTTCAGATAGAAGCATGTCTCAAAGACTTCTCAGAGGCCAGACATGAAATTTCTGTTTTGTTTCTGTGAGATCTGTCAGTTTCTTCGCAGTTGCTTGAATTCTTACAGCCCAACATATCTCTGGTCTGCATATTATTGGCTGATAATGAACTCTTAATCCTAATTTGGTACAATATGTTTTGGGCCTCATACAATGACTGCATTACTAAAGTTTCAGGCATAGCCATTAGAAAGTATAAAGTTGATTAATCAATACAGCCATGAACAATACATCTATTTTAAAGCTTTAGTTTAACTGTTGTGTCTTTGATAATAATTAAGCAATGGCTGCCTGTGAGTGATTGCAGTTTGTACCAAATGTGTACCATTAGTATTTCTTTGAAATGAAGTTTGATACTAATGAATGAATTTCACTTGTAGTGTTAAACACGGCTGTTGCAGAGGGATAAACTGTCATTATAAAATAAGCTATGGATGTGGGTGTTGTTAATATGCCTTGGCAAGTCTTTGCTTGCCTAGTTTCTGTTCCTTAACTTGTCAATAGATGTCAAATTGCTGCAGTAAACAGATTCCTTACACTTAGCTTCAGCTTACAAAGATTGTGTTTGTGTTCATTTAAACAAGCTGAACTCATGCCTCGTCAGGGCTCCCGAGAGAAATGTCTCACAGACCTGCTGAAATCGGTGTTATGTGTTCAGAATTTCCCTTTAGTACTTGGAAATGAAACCTGTAGACTGTATTTTTGGCTCTCTAACCATTTGCATCATATATTTTATTTTGTCAGCTTCTCTGCAGAAGCGTCATTGCACTTGTTTGCTTATTGAGGTTACACTTCCAGTCTGCCTTCTCGTCTGAGCTGTACAAGAAGACATCGCAAGTATATTATAGCCACTATATGAGGATGCAGTTATAATGGAAAGATACACTTTGCTGAGGAATTGAACATTCCTTTTTTCCATTTCCAGAGAACCGTAGTATGCTGGTATGTTGAGGGTGGTCTCTCTGCGAGCCAGGATATTACAGGATCACACAGGCAAGCCACAAGCGTGTCTAATGTCCTAATTGGATTATGCAGTCATGGTTCCTTGACAGCAAATTATTCGAACAACCTGAACCCCTCGTGTTTTCAAGAGATGACAAATAATGTAAGACAGCATTTTGGCATACACCTCATAATTAACTCCACTCGAAAATGTTCAGACGATATCGCCAGGTAGTATGTGACCACGTAGGTCAAGCTCATTCATGAAGCGATCAAGAACTTTGTGGTCATGGCTGAGCACCCCACACATTCGCTTAAAAAATTCCTGGGAAAAGCAGCTGAAGTTACTCTTTTTTTCCCCCTCAGAATCCCCCCATTTTGTCAACCAGATCTCACAACAAGCCTGAAGGTTACAACTTAATAAAAACACAAGTGGACCCCCTTATATTTTTGCATGAAGTCACCTTTAAGCAACTGAATAAACATCGTGTTTTTTCTGTGTCATGATTTCCTTATGAGGTGGCTCAGAATATATTGCATGAACGTTTGGAAATTTAGCTGCATGACAAGAATCATTATCTAGTGCCAAAATACTTCCTCAGCAAAATTACATTAAAGTGATCAGATACCTCCAGTGCTGTCATTAATATCAACATCTGCTGCTCTGTTGATCTATGTTTTCTGGGCTTGTAGTTAATAATAGCCAGCAACTATATTAGGAGACAAAAGTGGCAGATTTAAAGCTATAATCTTTGCTGTAATAACAGATGTGTTTTAAGACCCGAGTCTGTGAGTTTGGTAAATCCATTTATTCCTCTGCCTCTCGTTGAATGTGTAAAAGGAACCCAGAAATTGCACATAATGAGCTCCTGCCCTGCCAGTGCTGTCAATTGGTGTGACCAATATGGTCATTAGCTGACAGTCTTTGTCCCCTGTATGTGTTATGAAAGTAACTCTCAGCTCTCCTCGTCACAAACCGCAGAATGCTGGTTAGATGTTCGCCAGCTATGCGGCAGACCCAGCCAGTGTGTTTTATGCTTGCATGCTCTAAAATAAACTGACAAAAGAGGTGCTGCTCCATCGCATGCTGCCTACACCATGTCTAAAACATGAGATATTGGCTAAATACTGGTAAATAAGTATACGTGTTGTTCTTTGTTCTTAGTTTGGTTGCTGATATTTCTGTTATTATTGTCGGTGTCATTATTACTATTATAGTTGTTGATTCTTAGGGTTAGGGATTTGAACAAACCCCCAACTTTGGTGAATGATAAATAAATCTGTCTGTCTAAACAAAGCCATAGAGATTTGGCTGTTTTGTACTTGGGCCACCTAGCAACCCATCAACATTTCAGGTCTTGAAAAGGGCTTGAAACCAACTGGAAACCCTGTTTGGCTTGTGTTTTCCATAGGGAATTAGACACTTGAGAACATTAACCACATCAGAATTCATTCTTGCTATCGAGCTGACAGGACGCACATAAAAAGTGCCCAAAGCACCCCTCATTCGTTTTTCATGAATCAAGGAAAGTTGAAGGTTTGGTGAAGTTCAAGTTTGATGTAGGACCAATAGACAATCCAAACATCAAAGAGCAACCTCTTGGCTTAATAAAAATATTCAAGCTGCAAAGGTTTGCAGTATTATGCATAGATTATGTATTTTCACATTTTGTCTGTCTGTAAAAATGTAGCAATTTTGCAGTCCAGTGTAACTTGCTTCACACACTTTTACATAAAAGTGTAATATTTCATGAATGCACAAAAAGGCTTATCAATCTATAATAACTATTGTCAGTATTGGACCCAAATACTGTGATATGATATTATACGCAATCATTTTTGTTTTGGAAGGGTGCCACTATAAACTAATAACCCTACGGGTCAACCTCTGCAGCTTATCAGCTCATCCAAGTTTGAATTGCCATTACTTGATAAAGAACAGCTGTAATTTCAGGGGGGGGGGGGAATATACGAAAGAAAAAAAAGTGTACGTTTGGGACCAGAATTTTCTTATACAACTTTGTGCCCAGTGCTTGTTAGTGATGAGTGACGTGCTCTGCTTTTTCAAGTAGAAACACATTGTGTTGTGGTGCTTATGTGGGTGCTGTGAAAGTAAATTAGGCTTTTAACATTTTCCTGTTATAGAAATTAGTCCCATTGGCATTACAATATCCTCCTCCTCAGTACAAAGTTGTATATGTAACCCATTTCACTTAATGACAAACTTCAATAGATGACAAATTGATTTTCTTATGCATGGGATTTCTTTTTCTTTGAACGTGTATTGGCAAAACATACAGCTTGACTCAATGTGTAGAAACCTGTGTGCAAACACTAGGATTAAGGATTGGTGGAACTATCAATATCTTATACCATGGCATGAGAACATTTATATCACAATAACGGTATTGCATATCACAGTAAATGTACTGGAGATAGAGCAATAACGGTCTGTATATTAAATGATTGTCTACTTTTGGATTTGCGACACACCCCTTTCTAAATGGTAAAGACACATCGTATCTGGCCTTTTAACAATTCCTCAGTAACGGTGATTGTATTTGTCTCTCTTGTAGGCTAACAGGTAATGAACCCCTGTCCATTTTGCCACTGAGCTCACAGCCAGACGAAAGGGCGGGCAAGGCGCACTACAAGCTGTGTGATCGACTCAAACTGGAGAAGAAACAGCGCAGAATGTGCAGACGGGACCCTGGCGTGGCTGAGACTCTAATGGAGGCCATCAGCATGAGTGCCTTAGAGTGCCAGTATCAGTTCCGCTTTGAGAGATGGAACTGCACCTTGGAGGGCCGCTACAGGGCTAACATTTTAAAGAGGGGTAAGAAGACTGCGATCTATACAATGCCTACATAATATTGCTGGTTTACTGACTATAAGTTACTTTGCAAGTAAAAGTCAACTTATTCTACTAACCCTAACCATAACCTAATAGTCTAATACTCTGATGAGAGTTAGAAGCCGTTTACAAAACAACGTTTTAAACTAAAAACCTTTTATGCCTTTTGGCCATTCATTTACATGACAACAGCATTTTGGAAGTCTGAAAATGCCAACCCAGGCTCACTGAAAATACGTGCTTGTCGCGACGTTTCTGCAACATTGATATTGCGTACCTTATTGCATATTTTGCCCAGTTTCAACGTCAAAGGTCCAGTGAGTGACGCTAAAACGTGTGTTCAATACGTAACCGTGGCCACATTTTTATTATGTTGATACATGTATTGCGGCATTTTTATAACGTAGCTTCAGGCACGTATTGGAGCAGTTCAGAATTCAAGTGTCTGGGGAGTGTCGCCAAAAAAGGTTAATGCCCTATCGTGTTGGAAATACTCCCTACAACAAACCCAACCCTAAACCTATCTGACAGTGTTACCGAAAGCAAAAGTGATATAAAAACACATTCGCTGATGCAACTGTGCTATTTTAACTTCCTTCTACGCAGGTTTGAGCTGTTTTGTTGAACCGTAGTTTCACAGGACTGTACCGGTGAACCTCCGTACCGGAGCGCTTCACATCACAAGTGCAACGCCGTATCGCGTGAGCTACCAAGTAACTACTACATTATAAAACCCTGACATGTGAAGCTGTATATGTGATGCTAATGTTCAAAAGAATCCGTTTTCAAATCTCACAGCATGTTAGAATTGTTTTGAAGTCATAACATAATGTTGTGCAGCAATTGTGCGAAAATTAGGCTTTCTTAGGATAAAGGTTTTACTGCCTCTAGTGTTCATTTCAACTGGAAACTGCATCGATTTGTACTGTACGTATAGGTACATTTTCTGAGTTGTGCAGAAATGTATAGGTAGAGGCACGTATTTCCAATGAGCCTGAGTAGGAAAACGCAAACTTTTGAAATAGGGTTGAATGCAAGTTTTTGAAAACAATACCAGTATAGTCTCCGTGTAAACTATAAAAACGTGAATTTGTGAAAGCTGTGACATCATGTGCACAGGTATTATGTGTTTAGTCTATAGGTGAGTTTCTTTATGAGTGAGTATCGCCAGCTACTGGCCTGGCATGCTTAATACAGCATTTTAGTCGTTTTCAGATCCATGAGAACAGGGATAGTTTTCGCAAAGTTGTCACCTGAGAAACTTTTCAAAAATGCATAGGAAAAACTTTTCCATTTTATAGTACATTGTTGTCTTGTAAACGTACCCTTAGCTGACAGGTAGTTGCAAAATTACATTAAATAAAATCAAACTGCTTATTTTTTTTCAGGTTTCTTTGATGAACAGAAAGTATTTATGCAAAAACAGAAATATTTTGTAACATCATAAATGCCTTTACTGTTATTTTTGATTCATTTAATGTGTCCTTGCTGAACAAAAGTAAGTGCAAGGGGGGCTTGGAACTGTTACTAGCATTCTCTGTAAAATCACAGGATTGAAGGTCAGGAATGAACTTTTGGCTGCCTCGTAATCTGCATGTTCCTCACAGGCTTCAAGGAGACGGCATTCCTCTATGCCATCTCTTCAGCAGGCCTGACCCACGCCATGGCCAAAGCCTGCAGCGCTGGCCGCATGGAGCGCTGCACCTGTGACGAGGCTCCTGACCTGGAGAACCGCAAGGCTTGGCAGTGGGGAGGCTGTGGAGACAACCTCAAGTACAGCAACAAATTTGTCAAAGACTTCCTGGGTAAGAGGTCCAACAAGGATCTCCGCGCCCGGATAGATATGCACAACAGCAATGTAGGAATGAAGGTAGGCTGCTAAGATTTATTAAAAAGTATGGGAATCATGGGAATTATAAATAATGTGGGAAATGTTATGTGACAGAAACATGCATGAGAAACGTGGAGTTATATGCATATAGTATACTGTAAAGAAGGTGATTGTATCATTTATCTTTCCTTCTTTCTTTGTTGTGTACTTTTTTTCTCTGTGGTGGTTAAATGTTCAGCTTCATCAATTATTTAGGGTCACTCAAATAGTCTGTAAAGGTCCCATTTTAAATTACTTAAATTGGCTATTTAATTCAGTAATTTATAATAAGTGCCCATTAATCAAGGTTAGGTTTCCCTTACAGTCTAAAGAGCACTGAGTTTGTCCAAGTCTTCCATTGTTTTTGGTAAGAGAAAGAGCCGAGGTAACATTGAGGACCTCGTAAGAGTAAAAAAACAAAAGCAAAAAAAAAGGAACAGAAAAAGACCCATAACAGAGATCCAAAGTAAACTACAGGTCTGGCACCAATAGATTGTCTCATGTTGTTAGTTTTAGTTGTAGAATGAATATAAATTACAGCAGCGCTCAGCAGACTTGCCCTCTTTGCTCAGTCCATCTCAAGTAGTCGTCCTCAGGCCATTTTGTCTGCGATAAGAGATTTACAGCATTGCAAATTTTGGTCCATCTGCACATGTAAGGAGGTGTATGGGGTTTGGGGTCAAATCCCATATGGAGAACAAACTTGGAATGTGCTAGCCTCGGCATCACCTGCATTTTAAAGCTGACGTTACACATTTTCCTCTCCTTCCATTGTGGTGGATTTGCAGTTTCTGTTGAACTAGTCTACCACTTGTTTAACACAAAATGTCCAGACAGCACCTTTTATATGCTTATCTTAAAGTTCACTTTCTTACAGAAATGTTGAATGGATCAAACACTGTGGTTGGCAGTGCTCTGTGCATAACGTGAAATTTAAGTACCTCTGGCAGTTGTTCAAATTTTGAAAGGTCACAGAATCAACTAAACTCACCCATCAACAATGCTTGTACCATCAAACTTTTGCATTTCTTCCCAATTTAAAACATTTCACATTGACACTCATTTCAGAACCTTGATGTCTTTTTTCAAAACTTTAGACACAAGACTCAAAACGATCACCATTGGTAACACAGGCTGTTCAGTGTTCAATTTTGCATTGTGCATTCACAGCTTTAAAGAAAATGAGCACTTTCTGATTCACTGGTTCTACTAATTTATTATGAAATTTCCTAACATAATTTCACCCACACACAAGATAGTAAATAAAAGAGTTTTACTGTGTAGTTATTTGTACAAACATTCACACAAAATATGTGATGCACATTTAATTATGGCACTGTATAAATACATCACTGTAAACACTGTATTCTAGTAGAGATAATACTACAGACAGTGGAATCTTAAAACAAATTCTGCATGAAATATACAGTATTGATTAAATGCAATCAAATCATAACATTGGTTCTTTAAATCATGGCAAAAATGAGTAGCTACGAAAAAAAGCAAAAAGCAAAATAAAGGATTGAATGATTGCAATTTATTTTTATTTTAAAACATTTATTTGAATGTGTCCTTATTATAGTGTAATTATACATTTACGTACTGAGGAAAATTAATGAACAACATGTACTTAGGGTTAGAGTTAGGGTTTGGTTTAGAGTTAGTTGCATGAAACTGCACATAATTTACTGTTATTAATTTAGTAAGTAGATGCATTACGGGATCTGTTAACACTTTATTTTACAGTGTCCTTGTTGTACGTTGCATTGACAAGAACACTGTAAAATAAAGTGCTAACAAATCTCGTTATCCTGAAATTTTCCTGATGGAATATTCTTTGTCATTTTCCATAAAACTATGCGTTAAGAGCAATGCAACAGTTACATATCATTTTGAGCAGTTGTTTCGATTGATAGTTAGATCATTGTAATGAAATCTTAGCAACTCATCAACAGTCATCTCAGATGTATTTTGAAATGTTTCAGTTTCTACAATCCTTACGACCCATCTCAGTTCTGAGTTCTTAGGTCAATTTTTCAAAACTCTTCACACTTTGAGCACAACAGCAGTCTATGTGGGCTAAACTGTGGATCATTTATCATTGCTTTGGCACAAAATGCATTCAATGACTACAGCTTTCAAATTACATGAATTCTTCTCTTACTCAAACACAACCACCGCCAAAACTACCTACCTACAGGCCAATTTGCACGTTTATATACTCTTTTCAAAACTGTTGAACTTAAGTTAAAAACCAAACATAATACAGAACTGAATAAGACAGCAATTTGCTACATTTCTAGAATGCTACCATATTGAAACACATTCTACTAAAACAATTAGATGTAGTTGAACACCCAAATAGGTGTTAGGCTTTTAATAAATCAATACAAAAAGGGAAAACTTTGTGATGATTTTGTACTGTTGATGTGATGAAATGTGTCCTAGTGATCATAAAACTCGGTAATTGTGTTATTTTGAATAGGTGATTTTAGTTCAATGAACAAATTAGCTTAGGTTTTTGTGTGATGCATCCAAGCATTTGGAGAAAGGTTGTGAGTTTTGTTGATAAAAAATAAAAAGGTTCTGACATTAGTGACAATAAGGGTTGTAAAAAACTGTAATGTTTAGTATACATCTACAGTATGTGGAGCAAGATGCAATTTCACAAAGGGGCTACACAGTGTGATGCAACATGAACAGGAACAAATGTTGTGTGTCATAGCTAGGTCAGGCCATGCATAGAACTGAATTGGCAATGAAGACATTGGATTTATGGTTTTTCGCTTGTTAAAAACACAATGTGTGTCATTGTTTTGTTTCAAAATTATAAAATTTTCCATTTTGTATATGTATTGTGTAAATATATATGCAACCCACTCTGGTAAACTTAAGAACGACAATTTTTAAATACTGTACTCTATTGCATATATCATTATAAAACCCACATATATCACATTATCATATTTTTAATACATTTTTAATACTTTTAATATTTTAATACAATATTAAAAACATTAATAAGCCTCCACTTTGCGTCTTGTGACTAACAATTTAAGTTACCACAGCCATCATAATAATTACATATTTGGTCGACCTTTTCTTAAAATTGTATATAACTGACATATTTTAAAGCACATCTTTTTAATGTCAACTGATGCTGCTTTTGATAAAACCAAAATTACGGCAATTAGGTAAGAATGACAATAATGCCCTACTCCTCAATGGCCTGTATTATATCTTCGGTCTTTGGTTGGGAAGGTTAAAAGCAATCAAAATATGTGGGAACATCAAAGTCACTGCCTCAATGTGCTTTTGAAATACTTGTTTTGTAAATAGCATTGCCCATCTGTTTAACTGACCTATACAGATTTTTCAATACGAGGGGCAACATAAGGGTTCGGTAAACACCGCACTTACCGTGTCTTTGATGTATCGCAGCTGAGCGCTGTGCTGTGTCTGCTGAGATAATTGGAGAAGTAAATGTTGATGTTTGGTAAAAATCTTGAATGTAATTCCTTTGATGTGTGTAGTCTGACTACTTTTAACATTTGTCCCGCACAGGTGATCAAGGCGGGGGTGGAGACCACCTGTAAGTGTCACGGAGTTTCGGGATCGTGTACCGTGCAAACATGCTGGAGGCAGCTGGCACCCTTCCACGAAATCGGCAAACAGCTCAAGCAGCGTTACGAGACTTCAATCAAATTGGCCAGCCCCTCCAATGAGGCGACTGGGGAGGGGGAGATCTCCCAGACCAGATCCCAGGGGCAGCAGCCCTCTCCAGGCCCTCGAACGGAACTCATTCCCCGCACCTCTGACCTTCTTCATATCGAGGACTCGCCGAGCTTTTGCAGGCCTAGCAAGTATTCGGCAGGCACCATGGCCCGCAAATGCTACAAGGATAAGAACTGTGAGGCCATCTGCTGCGGCAGGGGCCACAACACTCAGAGCCGGGTGGTGACGAGACCGTGTCAGTGCCAGGTGCGCTGGTGCTGCTATGTTGAATGCAAACAGTGCACACAAAGAGAAGAGGTTTACACCTGTAAGGGGTAAAACCGTCACGACCATGCAGAATAACTCTCACCAGTCTGAATGAGTGGAAGGCAAAAAGAGAGAAGTGACAAGTTGTCCTGGTCTCAAAGACATCAAGCTAGTTGAAAGCACTTTTTTGAGAGGTTTTGCAGGGCATTTTTTCTGTTTTCCATGTGGAGCAGCGTGAAAGCTGTATAATATACCAAGCCTAAGGGAATGGTCTACAGCTTTGAGAGACACCTTGGAACTAGATTAAACATTTCACGGTGTAATTCGTCTGCCAAGATATCAATCAGCAGTGAAGTCCTGTCTTGGACAGACAATTGTTTGTCCAGTGATTTGACAGTCTCTGAATAATAGCTTCAAGCCGTACGTGTGAGAGTATGTGTTCGTATGTGACTTAATTCCAACTTGGAGACGGAATTTGCAATGAAAAAATGGTGGCGTCAGATTTATTCTACATGCACATGTATCCTACACCCACACAAGAGTGTGTATGCATATGTACATAGATAAAATTACATTATAATTCTATTATATACACCACTTATCTGAGTATGTTAAATAACCACTAACCACACAAATGTTTTATTGTTTGTGTGCTTGCATTCACTTTGTGTTGTAATTCTCTTCGACAAGGCCCTTAGGAAAGCAATACTTTTTTTGATTTGTGTTCTTCTGTGGATATAATTTATGGAACATCTCAAGGAACAGTCCTTGCATGGAAGGAAAATGCGCTTTTCCTTCCTTTTTGTTTTTTTAAATTTTGTTTTCTTTTTGCTTGACAGAGGAAATCTTTGCCAGTCTATTTAAGATTTAACTCGTCCTTAAACCAACTCTACAAATGACTGTTCAGGGAACATGTGAAACCACTATGTGCCGTTGGATGGTAAAAAAATCTCAGAGATATCGCAAGGAGCGTTAGTCTCCATGATTTAGGCTTCCACTTGACGACAGATCTGTCCATCCAGCTGCTGATTCATTGCTGTAATCGTTGCAGCAGTTTTTCAGGACAATGATGGTTAAATATGAAATATGCCATGGTTCATGGCCACTTTACATTCGGTCTGTTTCACAGACAGCTGGAGGGAGCAAATAAGAGTTGAGAATAAACATGACAGCAAATGTGAGACACAAATTTGCATTGCAACGAAAAAATTATTTTCGTTGTTTTCCCCTTTTTGCATTGTATTTCTAGGGGGGAATAATTAACCTCAGAGCTAATCTAATACACTTCCCAGCAGATATTGATGTTGGAAAATTACGGTGAACATTTTTTACATTCAAGTGTGGATGATGTACTGCTTGACTGTGGTTCTCTCTTGTCATATTGTTAACTTTTACTCAGAAATTTATGATGAATAACCATGTTAATCAAAAATGACTGTCTCATTGAATCTATTCACAATTGTGGAAAGGCTGGACGTGGCATATTTTTATGACTATATGGACGTAGAAGTCCATATATCTCTATTGTAAAATACAAACACTGAAATTCCATATTTTTGAAAATTATTTAACATAACAGCTTGCATGGAGAATGCGCTGTGTGACCAAATGACAGGATCTAAGTTTCTGATCAGACTTTTAATCATTTAAACGCTCTGTCAGTTTAGTGGCTGCACAAACGTATGACTTTGTATTCAGATCGCCAAACTCTGTTGAGATCCACATCGTGTAAATACAATATACAGAAATTAAGATATGACAAAATATATATGAATTAATTATATGCTCTTTTATTTTTTTAGTTTAGTGTGAATGAACTACTGAGTGAGAGACCGACAACAAGAAAAATGGCACCATTCACGCACTGAAGCTTGGAAGCTCTTTTATTTATTTATGTATTTTTTTTAAAAGTTGTAAATAGCTATGGTTATGTTCCTGTGGCATACAGACAAAAGTGAGGCACATGCATACGGCTTTTGGACAGAAGTTTCCAGAATAAAGATGTTTAGACCTGTCTGGCTAAGTAGAGGTACGTTGTTGTTTTAAGTTCAAATTCAAACGCAAACTGTTTTTTTTTTGTTTTTTTTTTTACTTTTTATGAAGTGCCAAGTTCAGTGCTTTGTAAATAAATGTTAAAATTTTACATAATTATCCTTAATAGAGCTCTGTGAAAGTATGCATCATCTGGAAAGCACTGTATTTTATTTACCCTATTTGTGTCAAATCTTTAAATAAGCAAATTTACTTTTAATTTTTGATCAAATGTTGCAGAAACATCTGATGGATAATTCAATAAGGAAAGTTTTGATGTTGCATTGAAGACATCTACATAAATAGTCAGCACTACAAAAAAAACATTACATTTTTCATAGTAAAAAAATCTTAAAACAAGACACGTTTACTTTTTTGCAATTTTGTGTTAGATCTAAGACTTTTTGCTTCTCAAGTAAGGATGTTCATATATTTGCCATGAGAAAAACAAAAATGCTGATACTTCACATTAATATTAAGAAAAAAACATTTTCAATGAAGATTTTGATGCAAATGTTGAATACAAAAACCAAGGGGTGCAGGAAATAATTCTGTCTGAGAAGGGATTCAATTTTTCTTTCATTTAAAGTAACGAGCTGAATTCCAAATAGTTATTTGATGGGGAGACATGCCAATTAAAGAATGCATGGAAACATAAACATAGACTTTAGCATGCTAAATGGAAACCATAATGGCTATGCCGAGTCATGTTGTCTGCCCACAGCAGAAGTGAACAGAAAACAGCAATGACATGCATATAAGACTCAATTCTCCTCAGCTGCCCTTTCACATCTGTCCCGATTCACTAAATATGCTGACACACAAGGTAGATATCACATATAGTTGCATTTTTGGCATGCTGCATGTTCTCAGTAATCAGTAATATTTTTTTTTCATTGACAGAAGGCATTGTGAAAGCATATGTTATAAGTTTCTTTTTGATGTTGTCTTGGTTCCTTTCCAATGCAACCTGTATAAATTGTATTTGGTAGGAAAAATGGACACAGAGACAAACTATAACTTATTTTGAAATGTTTTATGAGCATGTGTTAATTGTACATTTTGTAAAGTTCAAGATGATTTTCTATATATTTTCTCTGTCTTGCATTTGGCTTGCTATTGGGTATTTGCATTATGGGGTTGAGGTATACGCTTTTTTTTTTCTTTTCTACAACATAATTGCTCCCGATGGTTGAAAGAAAACATTTCCCCCCAAGATAAAGAACAATGCAAACCCTCTAAAATTCAGTTCCACTTCTATGTCTGAAGTGCAACGTTGTCCTTATTTATTATAAGGAAAGTATACCAAAGATTAACAATATTTAGTATGTAAACAACGCAAAACTACAACACCCACAATAAGACTATACATGTCCCAGTTAGCTGTAGCAATCTCATCATTTGCAGCATAAAGCCTGTAAAATATTATATGATTAAATGACTAAATGTATTATACTATTTTATACTATTTTGTTGATTATATGAAATAAACATAACTAGCAAGTCAGTTGATTGTTTTAGACCTACATTCATTGAGAGTGGATCGCAGATACTTAGCATTAAACAAATGCACAGTAATTTTTTCCATAAATTCCAATGGCTTGGTCACTATTCTGATTTTTTGTCAGGGTTTGTGCAATGCTGTAACTATTAAAAGGCATTCTTTTTCTTTTAAGGGCAGAGTTTTTGTCAGTAGTTTGTCTTTGTCCACTTTTTCTTGTCTTATGGGAAACTATTTTCCTCTAAATTATTTTCCTCTACCTCATGTGTATAGCTTGTAGGTATAAACTGATCATGAATGACTGGTAAGAATGTATTTAAGTTATTTAACATCTTTGTATAACAAAGGCAAGAAAATCTGAAAATAAAAGAGTTTTTAAAAGAATGTTGAGATTTTGTGTTTCTGATTTTACAGGAGTTTAGATGTGGGTATTTCATTTATCTGAAAATTGGTGATCAGAAATGACTCATTTATCTTGGTGAAATCAACTTTAAAATAAAGAAATATGACCAAATGTAAAAAAGAAGAAGAAAACAAAATCTGATCAGCATTATCATCAGGTAATCCTCTATGCCGGCTAGTTAAAAACCCCTTTGGGTTCTGTTGGATTTCATTCAGCTATATTATATTTTCATTATTAAAAAAGTAACCTATGCTGGCAGGTTAACATGTAATATGATATTACAAACCTTCTGGTCTTTTACTGACCCCCTTTCCTCTGAAATTTGGGAAAGCTACACAATCAAGTGTAAAGACGTCATCAAGGAACTGGGAACATGAAACTGATCAACATGGTGTGTTGCATGTCTTTATCCTATTTTGGGGGAACAGAGATTAATTACAGGCAGGAAACAGCTGTCTCAAAGTGCTTTTTTCAATGACAGATTTCTGTAAAGACTTTATATTTAATGGCTTTCATATCTGTAGCAAAGTTCACAACCTTGGTTCAGTTAAAGCCATCCGTTTCAAAGTCCTGCTGGAATAGCATCTTCCAATGTCTGGTTGAAATCGGGGATGGGATTGAGACTGTTGCCACCAGAGATGTAATTAGTGAGAATTGGTGAGCTGAGAGGAAGATGTACATCTGGGCAGATGGACAGGACATGGGGGGAAAAATATGAAGTATACAATTTCATTATTTGTAACATAATTTTGACATGTCTTGGTACCAAATCCTACAATGATTTGTAAAATATAAAACAGCAGAAAAGCATTTATATGCACCTCTCTGCTTACACGTTTTTTTTGCAAACCTGTTCCATATCATGCTGACATGACTCAAGAATCTCTAATTATGTTGAATCAGAAGTCAAAGAACTTTGCCAGATTATGATACTAACTCCCCACTGAGGATCTTTTGTTCGGTCAACAGCCTCAAGTTCTTCACCAGCTGTGTAAAGCCTTATAGTGAGAGAGCTCTGAGTTTCCCAATAACACTCATGTGCTAAGAACATAAGAAAATTGCTAATAAATGTGACTTGGTATCAGAAAATCTACTTTAGCAATAGTCATTAATTTAAGCCATTATTAAACTAATTGCACGTTCATTGTTCATATTAATAATTAATTCTTGAGTAAAAGTACAGATACATATAATAAAATATTACTCCAGTAAAAGTAAAAGTACTCCTTTTTCAATTTTACTCGAGTGAAAGTACAAAAGTAAGTAAAAAAGTACTGATAGATAGATTTATTTTGCAATTTTACATAGGCTACTTTATTTAATTTTATATTAGCACATATTTTTTATAATCCTACTGCTCAAAATACCTGGGATTTTCCCAAAATAACCACTATATGGAGTCAAGATATATTTGTGTTGTTGATATGGACTACATTGGCGAGAGTGATGTAGTAATGTTCACTGTGAAGCTTACACTGCAATGTACCTGAGAGAAAACAGATGTGACCATCTGATTTTCACCAGTAAGAAAAAAGTGTTTTAAAGCTTGTTGTTTTGCAGAACATCACAGTTATATATGACATGAGAATAAGGCCTGAAGTTAGGAAGAACATTTTAAGGAAAATATAATGATATTTTCAGAATTATTTTTTTTTCTCAAACCTCGTCTGTGGTGTAAAAACATCCCTGGCCAAATGTCCCCAGAAGGCATCACTTCCCACTTTGATAATTACTGTAGTTACCATGTTCTGAACATCACAGCCTTTCTTTTTCCCTCAGATGTAATCTATCTAGGTGGTTGAATAAAAATATTTGGACTTTATATCTAAAAATTACCTCAACTTAGCACCAGCAAGCTTGTTAGCTAGACAGTTAGCATCCGCTAACAATATTTACTTATTTTCAGTATGGTTATGATGAATAAACATTCATATCTGTCTACTCGGCTAGTTAATCCAAACAATATAAAAATGTATACTGTTGATAAACAATATAAAAACAGACGTCACATAGGGCTAAATGCGTAGCATTTTAATAAAACTGTTAATGTTAAGGCAGCGGGGAATATGAATTATTTTAATCTGTGTTATTTTAATGTTTCGGTTTTAGTTCAC